TGGTTTGACCCCGGTCTTGCCGGGTTATTTATTACTTCGACACTCCTGCACTTGGGAGAAGACATCAATCTTTTAGTCGTGTCACCAGCCAGGTCAAGTTAGGTTGACAACAACCTAACAAACTTGAATCTAATCTAGGCCTGCATGATCATTGGCCCAACTCAGTAACCATGGGGTTAATTATTATGGCTACTACATATAATATGTAGTGGCCTAGGGGGTTTATAGGAGAAAAATGAGGGGAAACTCTCATGGCCACTTTAGAGACATTCCTAGTGTTATAAGGGGAAGATCGATGCATGGTTGGTGGTGGCAACAGTGGCTAAGGCGCGATGGATGAAGCGGTCAAAGTGGTGGTCAAGAGGGGGGAAAGAAAAAATGAGTAGAAAGATGGGTTTTTTTTTCTCTCAACTTTAGCTTCTAATTTCTCCTCTTTCAGGAAATCTACCCCTATTTATAAGGGTTGGAAAAGGAACATTTTGTCTTTTTAGGAGACAAATCTTGTCCTTTAATTTAGCGATGAAGGATTTGAATCGTTAGGTCAAAGTTGTCATCATGGCTTAAGAAAGTTATTGCTAAAGGATTGGTTGGGTTGGCCATTTTGGCACGGTATCGAGGCAATTATGGTGTCAATCGATCAAAAAAGACCAAACTAGGGTGTAATTGAATGTTAGACCATTAGTTTCATGCATGTTTTGTCAAATTTAATGGAGAAATAAAGTATTAAATACTCGTTAAAAGTGGTTACCCGAGCAATTTTTTTTTTCATAAGGGAAAAAAGACAATGATCTTCTGTCTTTTTTCTTTTTACTGTTTTCAAACTGGTGCCATTTTGGGTTGTTTAGGGTTTTAGTTTAGGGGTTTGGTTAAAGTTTAATTTGGTCCCTCGTCTTTTAATTTCTTTTAATTGCACCCTTATTTGACTCTAAATTTTTAATTTTTTGCAATTTTGTTCTTGTCAATCTTCAATGTCAGCCCCAAATTTCAGTGACTTTTTTATTTTGATCCTTGATCTTGGATTTATGCATATTAAATATTAATTGACTATTAAACTTTCAATTTTCTTTTATTTCACCCCTACTTTCAATCATTTGGATTCCTATAGTTTGATGCCTTTTGTAAATGGTCATTGACTGTGAATTTCTTCAATTTAGCTTTTAATTAACCTCAAAACTTTGATTTTCTTGTAATTCTACTTCTGAATGAACTAATCGACTTTATAAAAATTAAATTTGGTCTTTTAAAATTCTATTCTTCTTAATTAAACTCAAACTAAGCTTCCATAATTCTACTCCTGAATGAACTAATCGACTTTATAAAAATTAAATTTGGTCTTTTAAAATTCTATTCTTCTTAATTAAACTCAAACTGAGCTTCCAAACCTAATGTTTCACCAATTAAACCCCTAATAAAATTAATCCGACTATTTAAAGTATAATTAAGTCATTACATCTAATTAAATCCTTCAATTGAACCGAAATTAATTCTTAAACATAATTAAACTTTAATTTAGCTCATGATTAAATCAAATTGGTCTATTAAAAATCTACTTTAGATTTAATTTTTTATGTATATTTGTTCAATAATAATTTAATTTGACCTTAAAGATGTATTATCTCTTTAGTTTTGGATAAAAAGAGGTATAGTTAGGCTTTCGAATTCCATCCAAATTTGCATGTTGATTTTTTTTTCTTGCTTTTACCAAAATGTCAGTTTTCTTGTTATTATTATTTTATTTTTATTCTAAAAGGAAAAAAAATGAAAAATAACCCAAAAAATAGGTTGTGACACTACTTGTGTATTAATAATGTGTCTTAACTTCCAAACCCAAACAAACTAACAATCTAATATAAAGATAAAGAAAAATAGGTTTGGTTATATTGTTTTTTAATGATGTTTATACTAAAATTACATGATTTGTAATGAAAATGAAAGATGAAGTTTGAATGAAACTCTTTGATAAGTCACATAGGAGTTCTTATCAAGATAAAAACATCACATTCCTTGTAATTAAAAGTGATAAGTCTAATTTGTTATTCAACTAATTCTTGAAATATAAGAATAAGAAAGAAAATTCTCTAAAGAAAAGTTAAAAAGTTTTATATTCTTTCAAAAGTACCTAATATTTAGTCTAGAACACCACTAAATACTTGAAACAACCTATCAAAATGATATAATTGAGATCCAAATAAATAACTTTGTGTAGAAAACTAGACAAATAATAAGCAACATGTTTTTTACATATAGAACACATACACAAATACATAAAAATTAAAACCATAATTTTTCAAATAAAACTTTAATACATGTATGGTTGACAAATTAAAAAAATAACATTCCAACTTAAAAACTATGTAAAATAGACTTATTTTACAATGCAATAAAATAGTGAAAATTGAAACTTAAATTGACCCATATGTTAATAGCAAACCTGAACTCTCTTAAGCTCTCAAATTATGATTGAAGTTTTACTTGAAAACAAACAAATAAATCTAAATATAAAAATATTTTTAAATAATATTTTTAAAAACTATTTTCATTTAATTTTACAAAGGCTCCAAACTCATCTAGGTTTGAGTTGTGTTAATATGATTGATTAAGACATTTTGTCCTTGTTTTGCCTATCTCTTATAATTAGACCATTAGAATGCCCTTATCCATTGAAATCAGCTCTTTCCATGTTAGAATCACGATGCATATCAATTATCAATTAGAAAACAACAATAATCTTTGTCTAGCTCAAGAACGCTCTCGTTCCAGTGGGACCTCCAAACAATTGGAGCTTACAATTACACGTGTGAAATGTAAAAATGTCATTTTAAAGGTTGAAACGGGCCACTTGCTAAGTGAGGAAGTTGCTACTTCACGGAAGTACAGTAAAAACCTTCACATCAACAGTTACTGGACTTCTGACGGAGTACTCGAATGTCCATCCATGGCAAGCACCAGCATGCACACCATTTTTATTGACAGCAACAACAGCTCCCACAAAATCTGGAAATTTTCTTGCAATTCTTGATATTGCATCCTTTGCAGCAAGCATAGGTTCCATGCCTAATCTCATACTTTCAACAACTTGATAACTGAAAGAGACAAGGATAGCTTAGCTTTAAGTAAAACCAAAGCATCAAATAAATGAGACAAGGCTAAATACTTGAGGTAGGATGAAACTGTATTACGAAAGACGTCTCATATTTGCTGGAAAAGTCTCAAACTTGAGAATCAACTCATAGACAACCCAAACTAGTTTATTATTTCCTCATAGAGCCAAACCAAGCAAAATTTCCTGTCAGCTGAGCGTATTTTTCTTAAAGCATCGAGATTGACAGCATTATCCCGAGTTCAGCCTACGTAATGGAACTCTAAAAGTATGGGTCGTTAAATGGTGTGAAATTTCCTTTTGTGATGGCTTACCAAGAATAACTTCATCATTCAAAAAGTAAAAAGACTGATATTCATTACAATACCATGGAAGGAAGCGCATCATGACGTCACCATCCCCAGTTGCACCACAAGCACCAACATCAGTATCAGCATATGCTGAAGATCCCGCAATGGGTCCATCACCTACCCTGCAGTCAAAGAAAGAATACATTAAATCAATGAGATGAATGCTTTAACCTGAACCAAAAACCTTACACTGGGGGGGTTGGTGGGGTACAGTGCTCAAAACTTCTTGTCAATTACAAATTTAAAGGAAAATCTTTTTACATTTGAAGAGATATCTCAAAGCTTAAAGACTCAAGGGTGGGAGACAAGATGCTGCTGATGACAGCTACCAAATTTCGTTGGAAGCAGAATCTGACATGTTTTAATCATAGTTCATTTCCACAATGTTTACAGTATATCGCATTGGCAATGTATTCATCCACATCGACTTCATATTCACCTTACCTTCCAGGGATCTTATAAGTCGCTCCATTAGTTGATGTTCCAACAGCTACATGTCCCATCTACATGAAAAGCAAAAGAATTCCTTCTGTAAATATATATGCAGGAAGACTGTATGCACGTCCATGTGTGCACGCATGCTAGTGGAATTCGTATCTGCAGTTTCATCAACTTACTTTATCAATAACAGCCATTGATATGGTGTCATGATTGTGAGGACCAACAAGAGATGATCTTGGTTCAGCAATTCCCATCAGGTTGCGTGTGGAACACCCACCCTCTTTAACATCCATGCTAGCCTTTGCATGATAAGGGCCACAACTATCTAAAGGAACAACATCTTTCCAAAAATTAGGCTGGCAGTTATTCTCTTTCCATTTACTCCACTTGCTGATGGAATCAGAAGAACTAAGGTTACTCGGTCCTGGGAGACCCATTGAAATGGCAAAGGCTGAGGCCTTCTCCCCGACAAGCAATGTGTGCTTTGTATGCTGCATCACTAATTTTGCAGCTCTAATTCCATCTTTCACAAACCTCATGGCAGCAACAGCTCCAACCTCCATTGTCACCTATGCATGAAAGGATCTTCATTTATAAAGTAAGCAAACCAGCATGCAGCAGTAAAGAGAACAAGTATATTAATGAAAGGAAAAGGAGAATAGTGTTTACCCCATTCATGATCAAGGCATCAATAGTAGTTTCTCCATTCTCATCTGGACTGCCCCCCGGTCCCACTGTTCATTCCAGATTCAAATTACTAGAGACAATCAGTTAACAAACCGTAGTTACAAGCTACAATAATCAAAACACACATCTACTACGACTAGATATGAACTTGAGAGAACACATCATAAAATTCGCAATTTGAGATGATATGTTAAAACACTAAACATGAAACTTCAAGTAAATGATGTTCTGCCATACAAATCAACAATTAAGGAATTTATTTAAGCAAATGGGTCTACCTTATGAAAGATTAAGTATTCTATTGAGTCATTTCATGGAAAGATTAATAATTAATTAACATTTACATAAAATATTTTACCTGTACCATCACACCTGAGTTCCTCACAAGCAGAACAACCCTCCACAACAGCATCAACAGCAGAATGGCCACCATCAACAGCCCTCCAAGCAGCTCTAACAGCTTCTTTGAAGGGCCAGGTGCTCACTACTAATGGGTACTGCTTTGAGATCGCAACCCCATCATCTCCTATTACCTTATAAACCATAAATAAATAAATACCCATGTCATAAATTGCTAAGAACAATCAACATTCAATAAAGAAATTGAAATAAAACTGCAATTATCAAGATTTGATCTTTCATTTCCATTATGTTAATACGTGAAATAAATTTAATGAGAGTTTGTTTATTTGTTTATTTCCTTCGTTGTCTTAGTATCCAAACAGAAGTGAAATGAGAAGTTATTTTTTAAAAAGGAATAAAGAAAAAGAAGAAGAGATAATTCGTTTACCATGGAGAACAAAGTAGAGAAGAAGAGAAGAGTGATGAAGGGCAGGATTCTGTTGGCCATGGAACTGGGACCCTGTTCCGTTCTGCTCTGGTCTGTTAAACTGGTCTTGCAGATAAATTTGAACATCAATTTAAACTGCTTTGTATATATCGGTCGGGTTATTTTTAAATATAAAAATATTTTAAAATAATATTTTTAAAAAAAATATTATTTTTAATAACAGTATATTAAAATATCTAAAAATACTAAAAAAATAATTAATTTAAAATAAAAAAAATCAAAAACATTTTTAGAATACAAAATCCCAAAAAAAAAAAACATGCTATTTTTTTTATTTTTTTAACAAAAGCAAGACACTTGAAATTATCATTTGTTACTTGCTAATAGCTGTTTTGATTGCCTCCACGCATGCTCAAGGGATGGACTGGTTACCTTCCCTCAATAAAATATGAAAAGAAAAACAAGTTGTGGTTGATTTTATGTAATAATTATTTAGTACAATCTCTATGTCTAAAGAAATCCACAGACAAGCAAGAAAGGAAAGCAAATAATTATAATAAAGTGGAATAAAAAATGGTGGGATTTGCTGCTGCTGATTTGCTACATTACTGTCAGGTGATTTGCTGTTATTTCTCATGATATAATTTATTGCTACATTAACATCTCCCCGCAAGCGAACAGGGGAGGGGGTTTAGATATCACGAGCTTGTCTTGCAGGGAGCAAAACGGAGGAGGAAAGACCTTGAGTCGAAGTAATAATGATTCTAAAACGTATAGACATTTGAAAGATAAGTATGGGCGAAAGTCTTGAAAAATTGAATTAGCAGGAATGAAGCTTTAATAAGTTTGCAGCTTGTAAACTAATTGAAAATTATTTAAATATGTTTGTTTGTTTTTAAGTAAAGCTTGGATTATAATTTATAAATTTTATAGAGTTTGAGTTTGCTCATGTGTCAATTCAAACTTGAATTTTCATTATTTTATTGTTTTAAAAAAATAAATATTATCTTTTTAGCTTGTCCAACCATACATATATCGGAGTTTTATATAAAAAATTATGGTTGTTTTAATTTTTGTATATTATATAAGTTAAGAACATGTATTATTTATTATTTGTCAAGTTATCTAAATAGAGTTATTTATTTAAATTTCAATTATATCATTTTGATATTTTAGATTTGAAGGGTTGTTCTAAATATATAATAAGATTTCAAACAAGATATAAAGAACTTTTGGAAAGAATATAAAACTTCTCAACTTCTTTTTTATAGAGTTTTCTTCCTTGTTCTTTTATTTTGAGAATTGATTAAAGAACAAATTAGACTTATCACTTTTAATCACAAAAGAGGTTGTCATCTTTATCTTGATATGAATTTCTTTATAACATCTTTGACTTATCAAGTTGTTTTATCATTCATTTTAATTACAAATCATGTAATTTTCAGCCTAATCACCATAAGAAAAACAATATAACCAAACCTGCTTTCCTTCATCTTCATATTAAATTGCTAGTTTGGTCGAGTTAGGAAACTAAGGCACATCAAAAGATAAACCCAAGACTATCACATTGTATACTAAGAGGAAAAGATAATGATATACGTAAATATTTTAGAGCCATTTGTGTATTACTACGAGCCTTTCATGGTGTTATAATGAATGATAATCTATTATGGAATGTGACACGACTAAAAGGTTGATATCTTCTCCCAAGTGCAGGAGTGTCGAAGTAATAAATAACCCGGCAAGACCGGGGTCGAACCACAGGGAGATTAATAGGTATCTTATATTATTAGATACATTATTATAAAATATATTTTAGTTAAGGAGTTATTGATACTTCAAGTGCAAAATGATGATATAAAACCATGATAAAAATGCACTTTTAAGTACTAATCAGAATGTTTATATAAATATTACAAAGGATCTAATATTTTTTATAAGGAATGCCAAATTGATATGAAATGTATGTACAAGTATTATGAATGATCTATTATTGAGATATATTGAATGTCAACTTGTTATAAAATCTTGAATGAGTATTATGATTAACTTTGGCTAATGGCATCCTAAAAGGATTGTTGGGTTGTGATTAATGATTAGTTTCGACTAATGACATTCTAAGGGGATGGTCAAGATGAATTGATGATTAGCTTCGGCTAATGGCATCCGCGATGGATAGTCAAGTTGTGTTTGATGAGTAGTTTCGGTTAATGACATCCTAGATGGATGGTTGGGCTACGTTAATAATTAGCTTTGGCTAATGGCATCCTAGATGGATGGCTGGGTTATATTGATGATTAGTCTCCATTAATGGTATCATAGAAGAATGGTCGGGTTGAATATTATGATTAGTTTTGGCTAATGGTATCCTAAATGGATGGCCGAGTTGATTATGATGATTGGCTTCAACTAATGGTATTTGTAGGAGATGACAGGTTTGATTTTGTGATTAGTTTTGGTTGAAGGTATCCAAGATGAATGACTGAGTTTAGATGTTGCGATTAGTTACGGCTAAAAGCATCAAAGATGGATGACCAGTTAAAGTGAAGCAATTACCCTCGAGTGATATTTAACCTTTGGCCCTACAACTCTTATGGAGAGGTTAAGGTGTATGACTGATAATAATATATTTAACGAAATAATAAGGAATGTACAATGTATATGAGAAGAAAAGGAAGGCATGTACTTATTTTAAGTTGATAACGAAAAGTAACAATAATGTTTGGTGATTAGTACTTGAAAGTACATTTTTATCAAGATTTTATATCATCATTTTGCACTTGAAGTATTAATAACTCCTTAACTATAACATGTTTTATAATAACAAGTCTGATAATATAAGATACATTTAATTTATGGTAAATGCTCATTTTAAATGCAAGTATTCTCATAATTTAAAGGATTGATTGTTGTGATTAACTATTGGAAGTGAACGGACAAAGAAAAAGCTAAGTTTAAAAAGAAGATGCCGATTCAATTCAAATTCAAACACTGTTCAGTCATTGAATCATATCTAAAGCTATAGATTTTGGATTTCAAATTGATTTATATGGTTGGAAAGATAAGAAATAGGCCTACAACTTTCATGGTATGGGAAGACCCAAATTTATCATTTTCAAATTCAAAGTTTAGCCATAAAAGAGAAGTCAACATATGTCCTGCAATCCAACCCAAATATTGCTCAGTGTTTTACCTATAAATGGAGTTCTAGAAAGCCAAATGACATGAAATTTGGTGGGTGGAAGGAAAAGATAATTTTCAACAACTTTCATAAAGAAGACCTTCTCAAATTCTAACAGTAGAAATGACATTTCATCCAAACAAGAGCATGAGGGCTATCCATCAATCATGTTTATATTTTTATATTGTTTATTTAAGTTTTTCTTCTTTAAAATGTCTAGCTAAGTTAATTATGTCAAAGTGAAAAGGTTTCACTAATGGTGTTAGAATAAGTATAATATAAACTCAATATGGACTTCAATGTTTATATCCTAAACAACTTGCTATTAACATGTCTTATCATTTTTATCTTATTAATTCTTAATACCTTGCTTGTTAAATGGTTAATTTAGATTTGTGTTGTATAACATTTGGTACATTAAATACTTGATCCTTCGTAGTCTTCGGTCGACATCGTTATTATGAGAGGAACTTAATTTGTTGTCAATATAAATTAGCATCATGATTACTTGATAAAATTTATATGTATGGTGTTACGTAAATAGGATGATTAATATGATCATGTTGATAATTTATAAAGAGTTTATACTTTACTTATCTCTAATACTATTAATGTATCCTCTAACCTTGACATTTGTTTTTATCATAATATAATCTTCACATTAATCTTACATCTCAAAGTCCTCTTTAACTCATCTTCACCACAATCATCAATGTTGTTATTATTGTTGTTGTTGTTCTTATTATTAATTATAATTTATATAGTTAATTTCCCTGTGGTTCGAACCCGATCTTGCCGGGTTATTTATTACTTTGACACTCTTGTACTTGGGATACGACATCAAATCTTTGATTGTGTTATTTAGATTATTCATGATTTTTATATCCATGTTATTTTTGTAATAGGAACATCATACAATCAAGGTGCGCAGGAAAGCCTATTCCATGTGTTCATATATTTTAGAATGTGCAATATAATAATATGTTTTAGATGTTACATATTTGATAAGAACGAATATACTAGGTGTATAGCTGTTGATGAACACTTTTATATGAACTCGCAACGGTACAATATTAGTTTGGGAACGCTAGTTTATGTATATGTTAATGAGATGTAATGTAGACTTATGATTATACCAATATGATATTGTGGGTATGTGTAATGAACACTTTCTATGAAGATGATGATTCTCATTATTATATGTGTATTGTACAAAACTTATGAATAGAATCCATCCATCAATTCTTGGAATGCTATAATAAAAAGCATTGAATTTACTAATTGTGTATTGTCATTTGACACTTTTATATAAACTCGTGATGATAACGAGGCTAAAATAGAAACGCGATCTTATAAATATGTCAATGGGAGTAACATGAACTTACAAATATGTAAATATAATATCATTGGTTTGTGTATTGAGTAACCATTTCATAGGGATGTTGATTTACAGCAACCATATAGTAATATGCTATGATAAGGAATGGAACATATTGTTAACCTCAGGATGTTATTGTGAAAACCATCGGGGATGTAAAAACACAAAAAAATTCCACTGATTTTGGCTTTGAAAAATTGAGTTGTTACAATCTCTAAAACTAAGTTTGTTACAAAATCATCATTGCAAAACTAGTAAGTGATAGAGCTTTCAATTATTAAAATGTAATGAAGCATTGAGCAATCATGATCAAACTTTGATTAAAAAAACCCTAGCAAAAGCCTATAAATATCCCATGAAAATCCAAATAAAAAGGAAAAAGAGGAGGAAGGGATAAGAAAATCTTGATAAGAAAGCTAAGTGTGAAAGTTCAAGAACTAAGCACAAGAATTTTTCTTAAGCTTTAAGCGTGAAAGTTCAAGAACTAAGCACAAGAATTTCTTAAGCTTTAAGCGTGGTCAAGCTAAACTATACAAAAGAAAAGCATAAAGGGAAAGTAGTTATTAGTGAGCTTTAAAGTTATAAACTTTAATTAGTACTTAAAAATATATTTTTATCAAAGTTTTATATCATTATTTTAAACTTCAAGTATCAATAACTCCTTAACTAAAGCATGGTTTATAATAATAAGTCTGATAATATACGATAACTTTAATTTATGGTAAAAATTCATTTTAAATGTAGGTCTATCATATAAATCAAAGGATTAATTGATGAGTTTAACTACTAGATTGAGAAGACAAAAGGAGGGCTAAGCTTAGAAAAGAAATGTTGGTTTAGTCCAAACTAGAACATCATTCGGTTATTGGATCATAACTGGAGCTGTAGAACTTAAAAAGCTAAGACATAAGTCTAAAACGTTCATGAAGTGTCCATGATTCAAAAAGATCGTTCCAAGTTCAAATTGTAGCAACAACGGAGAAGTCAAAATTTATCCTGCAGCTCAAACACTGTTCAGTGTTCAGCCTATATCTTGAGTTCTAGAAGTTCATATCTACTAATATTTTTTTTGTTGAAAAGATGAGATAATTTTCCAGAACTTTCAAATTTTAATGTTAGCAATGATGTTTTTGACAGACAAAAAGATAAGGATTGTCACAAAGTCAAGAGGTGGTCATCCACTCAATAATTAGTCATCAAATCAATAATTCTGAATTTTGGCCTACAAAATAGGGATATTTGTTATGCATTTAGGGATCTTAGTTTTTAGATCAAGATCAAGTTCTTGCTCTCTTTCTTTATATTTTTGTAATGCTTAAGTTTTGCTTTCATTAATCTCTTATTTATGCCTTTCATTTCTTATATTATACTTATATAATCATGTTCTCCTCTTGTTTATTTATATTTCTCTTCTTCATTATGTTTAGCTAAGTTTATTACGTCACGGTGAAAAGGTTTCACTAATGATGTTAGAATAAGTATAATATAAACTTAATATGAACTTTAATGCTTATATTCTAAACAACTTGCTATTAACATATCTTATCATTTTTATCTTATTAATTCTTAATACCTTGCTTGTTAAATGATTAATCTAGTTTTGTGTTGTATAACATTTGGTACAATAAATGCTCGGCTCTTTTATAGTCAACCGTATGGTATAACCTACACATATGCTATGAAAGGAACTTGATTTGTTGTTAATATAAGTTAACATCATGAATTCCTTATAATATTTAAAAGTTTGGTGTTATTTAAATAAGATAATTAATATGATCATGTTAATAATTTATGATGAGTTATTAATGACAAGTCATTCGATTGAAACCTTCTTTGTGTGTGGTTTCTAGTTAAGTAACAAAAAACATTTATATTATACTTACTTGAAATACCATTAATGGATCCTCTAACCTTGACAATTGTTTTTATCATTGTTTAATTTTCATATTAATCTTATATCTCAAAGTTCTATTTAACTCATTATCATCATCATTATTATTTATAATTTATTATGTGGCTCGACTCTAGTCTTGCTAGGTTATTTATTACTTCGACACTCCTACAGTTAGAAGAAGACGTTAATATTTTGGTTGTATCAAAGTTCCTCTAACCTAGGAGGTGATGTCTATGAGGCACACATCTAGTTTGTTTTATATGTTTTAATGATGTCTATGAACTTGTTTTGGAGTTATAATGTTTTCAATTTTAATTTTTTTATTGATGCATAAAAATATTATTTTTATTTGCTTAATTCTATTTTGAGTTGGTTGTTAATGTTTGTTGGATATTAGAAAATGTTTGGAAGATTTTATTTTTTATGAAATGAAATAGTTTTGGAATCTCTCATGTATAGTAGTAGGCCTTTAATGTTTGTTTTAATATAGAAATAGTTTTGAAATCTCTCATGTATAGTAGGCCTTTAATGTTTGTTTTAATATATGTTCTTATTTTCTAGGTTTTTATAAGTCTTATTAAATGTTAAAATGCTAGTTTTAAATATCAAATTGTTAAATATGTTTATTGTTTTAATTTGGAAATTTTAGGAATTGGGATATTAGGTATGATTATGATGATTTAGCACATCTGTTGTTCATGCTAGTTCAGTCATATGTAACAATTATATTATGTTTTGTGTAAACCAAAAATACTTTGTTTTAGGGTTTGGAATGCATATTCTGGGTTTGACAGTAGCTGGGGTTGTTTTCTAGACAATTATAGGTTGTTGTTATTCATGTTTCTAGAAAGAACATTGTCTTGGTTCCATGATTTTGACTAGTTTTAGTCCAATTTTTTTACAACAACAACTTCATGAGGCTTAGTTAATCAATAATCTAGGGTTAGTTTACATCAATAACTATTTTTTTAGATTTAATCTTCGGGTTTTTTTAACACTAAAACATATTTTGATCAAGTAGTTATTATTAGTTGATAATCATTGATGTTTAATGATTGATTATTGCTCAGTGATTGATTTTTAATATGTTTATGTCTTTGGTTTGTTCGTATATGGTATAGATCTTGATTAATGTTGTTAGGTATGTTCTTGAGTTTTTTTTCCAGGTCAAATTAGTGTTTTTTATTCATTTTATGGTCGAACCAAAGATTTCAGGTCAACCCAATCAGGTCAAATTCAGGTCATTTGGGTAAGGCTTTATTTGGTTTTTCAACTTTTTTATAAGGGATTTTTTGTCTTAAGGTTGTGTTTAAAAAACATGTCCGTTAAAAGAAAAAATGTGTTTTTGCCAAACAAAGCCCTAAAGAATAATAATAAAAAGTAAAACTATTATTTAAAAAAATAAATAAAAGGTTTCCTTGCATATGACTAAAAATCCTAAAAAAATATTGAAGCATGTCATAAAATTAAAAAAAAAATCAAAAACATTTTTGCATGTTTAAAAATATATAAAAAGTACTACATGGATTTTATAACCAATTTATAAAATTTCAAAGGATTTTGATCTACATTTCAAAAATATTAAAAACCTATTTTTAGTAAGAAAATATATAATTCACTTTTAATACAAGGATAAAAAAAACCTACAAAAGAGTTATTATCTAAAATATTATTAGGGATAATAATTTATTATTATTCACTTTTAATAAAAAGATAAAAAACTCATATGAGGATTAATATCTAAAATATTTTTTGGAATAATACAACTTATTCACTTCTTTTACAAGAATAAAAATCATAAGGAGTTTATTTGAAATATTATTTGGAATGATATAGTAGCCAAAACAATTCCAAGTTTGTCATGCAAGTGAAATTACGGATATTTAAACTTGGATTCTAATGTATAAAAGCCATAGACATTCGAAATATCAAATGTTTATAATACTTCTATTTGTTTTCAAGGTTAAGGTTAGGATTGGATAGTTTGTTGTTTAGAGAATAAATTATAGCTATCACCTTGATGAGAAGATTCAAATCATCTACTTCCCCATAAACTAGATAGAAAGGTTTAGCTGCATCACTTTCATAAGTAAAAATACCAATTTTAGAGTTTTTTTTTATCAATTTTTTTAATTCAATAATACATATTTAAAAGTAAACAAAAAATCAAGAAAAGAAAAGTAAGGTTCTTCACCTTTCTTTGCATATTAAAGGATCACCCACAAAAAATTTGAAAAGAAAAAGAATAATTCTGTAGTAACCACTATCATGGTGAAATGATTATGCATATGGAATAGTAAAAGGGTGGACTAAAATTCCTGACACAGCTACTATTATCATGTTATTATGGACCAAGATTCTTCAACATAACCATGTGCACATCCACGTGAAAGGTGTCCCAAGGCCCCTGACATAGATACAAGCTTTTACTCCCACAATTATGCGGTGTTAGTGCCATTGTGTCACCATCATCCACCACAGTAGTAAATTCACACCTTCCATGGATATATTTGAATAAGTTATGAATTATTTATTTCTCCTCAGTATATTTGGTTTTGAACTTCTAGGTTACGTAATAAAGTATCTAATTTAAGGAAGATTATTAGGCTAATACATCATTATTCATAAAATAATCTATAATATTATCATTAAAAAAACCCTAATTTTTTAAAAACAATGACATAATTGGACAATAATTTAAATATTAATTTAATAAATTGATTTAAAATGATTTCTTTATCAAAAATTAAAAAGAAAAAAAATAAATTAAGAGATATCTAAAAAAAAGACTAGGTGCACTTGAGTCTGACCTTCTAGGCTCACATATATATAGCCTGAAAAAGTTCGAACGCTCATCGGCTTCGATTATTATTTTATTTATTTTTATTATTTTAATTAGTTTGGATTTTATTTAAATTAGATGCATGTTCGACTTGTTAGTTTTACTATTTATATATAAACACTGTTATGTAAGAATTTATATTCAATTGATAAATTTTATCTACAAGTTGTTATTTACTGTGTACTTATTTCTTTTTATATAGTTGATTTCTTTTTATATAGTTGAGTAATTATTATATTAAGTTATTAATTGAATTTGTAAACTCTTCAAATAATTAATTAACTTTATATTTTTCTCCAAATAATTAAGTAATTTTATATTTTTCATTCACATCTAGCTATATATAAATATAGAATGAGAGTGATTAATTGTAGATAATTTTAGTTCTTCATTATAAGAATTTTTTTTTTTCAAACCTCGAATTAGCAAACTAATAAATAAATCTGCATGAGAAATGGCAGCTCTTGAACTTCAATTGTCGGATTGAAATTTGAATGTTGATTGAAGTCCTTCAGCACAGTATGGGAAGGAGCAGGATCAGTCATCTGCTTTATCTATTTATACCTACAGGGTTTGCCAATTTCTGGTTAAGCTACACCGTATCTTTCGGAATTTTTGGCTTTGGCTGACTGACACAAATACAGGCAACCACAAAGAAAGAAAAGTAAAGGAAAGGGTGAGAGGAAGGGGAAGGCTAAATAAGAAGTTACAAGAAGTAGTTCCAAACCACCGTTTCCTTGTTTCAAAACAAGAATGCTGTCAGCTATCTAAAACACATTCCCATATCAATTGGAGAAAACAAAATGTAAAGAATTGTTGCTATCAGAATTTGATAGGCACGCAAAACTTCAATCAGAAAAGGGGCGCCGAGATGGATAGGCCAAAAATTCTAGACTCAAGAGAACTGCAAAATACTGGACGCAGGTAAATCAACACATCCCTCATCTCTGAAAAGAAGCCAGGTCCTATTTTACCCAATTAAGATGCGACAAATGCCGTTTCCATGCAATGAAGCAGAAGTTTCCTATATCTCCACTCCAGTGAGGAAAAAAAAAGGATTCCCAAAACTTGATTGGCATCTTTCAAAATTTCCTCAAATCCTATGTCCTGTAGCTTGAGCCTGAAGATTTTGGTTGTCTTCTAACAAGCGGTCATATTCCAGCAGGAGGTCAGCAGACCGTTTGTGAAGGGCAACAACATGGGCTTCTGCTGTTTCAATCTGCTTGTCCTTTTGCTCAGATTCCAGCTTCAGCTTCTTCAAATTCTCTGACAGAGTTGAAAATTGTTCCTGTAGAAGCTTCATTTCCTTGGAAACTTTGCCTTCCTCCTCTTTAAGCTGCATCTTCTCTTTCTGAAGCCTTTCAACTTCCTCTTTTGAAGATCCCACGCTACTTCTCAACCCAATAAGCTTTGAAAGATAATGGTGCATCCGATCAATTAAGAACCCAAGAAAGAGGGTGAAACCTGCAAGATTAAGTTCGAATGATTAAAATATCATGGTAATGAACTAAAAGAAAATCAAAGAAGAGGGGAGATAAATTAATTTAGGCACTATCACTAGAACTATCATGGAAGAGCCTCATATAAACACTGGTAATAATATTGTTAGCCAGAGGTTCAGGAACTTTATGAAGTCCAAACTATCACAGATGACATGTATATGTGTCAAACACAGATGCCTATCTAATATCATGTTGATTTTTATTCACCAAATATTTGAAGTTTGATTTTATTCACATGAACAGATCTGGATTTGATCTTACTCTCTTCTGCTTCTTCTTCTTCTTTTGTTTTCATTTGAACTAAATGATAAAAACTATATCTAATAGCACCTGGTGATCCATCCAAAAATATTTCAACGAAATGATAACAGCTATATCTATAGCACACAGCAAATCAGCCAAAACGAAGTTCACTTCAAAGGATTGGAGAGGCAAGTAGCTCAATTGGCCACATTTTATTGACGGACAATTCAATTGATTTTACACGTGGTAATTAATACATTTAATTTAATCATTACGAAAGGACCAAAAGAAACTAAGTAGCGTGTGTGATCAACATGAACTCCACGGAGCTCCTTGACCTTTGTAAGCAACATCATAGATCTTCTTGACACATGAGAAGTTGCACATGATTGACTTTCTAATATTTCTCTTCTCTTAGAAAAGGCAGCTTCCATCTTGCAAGGGTAAAACCAAGGAATAACATATTACTAATACAAAATAGGAGATGGCTATCTCAGCTATTTATGCTGATTATAATATGGCTTGCTGGTTTTAAAAGCAATTTCATTCACAATTAGTTGTAGTGCGCCACCCAATAAGATAAACATATTCAAATAAAAAATTATTTGTAAATGACAGATCAAAATCATTTGAGGTTAAAAATGGTGTAAAACCCCAGTTAACACAACATAAAAAAAAAAAAAAACAAGACAATCAAAATAAATGAATAATAATATATAAATATTAAATGACTAGAGATGAAGATTTATGAATTTAAATCTTATAGTATGGTAAGCCTTAAAATAATAAACCAAGAAGGGATAACCCATGAAAAAAAAAATGAACTAAAGAACAAGGACAAAATTGTCATTATGAGTACAAGGGAGATACAAATAAAAACTTGCCTTCCTTAGGAAGCCAAGTTTGCCTGCCATTTGAGGGAGAAAAAGAGAGATATTGAAGCAAAATTATGAAAAATTCTTGCTAAAGAACACCAAAGAGAGATAAATAAAAGAATCAAAGAGGGGATCAAGGAAATTAAAGATTATCGAGGGTTGTTTGGTTAAGGGAAGCCAACAATGAAGAAGAAGAGGAGGGAAAGAAGTGAGTAGAAGATTATTATAAGAGGGATAGGTTCTGCCAATATGCCTATTGACTGTTCTAACTGACAATGCACTGTTATTATTCAATTTAAAACCTATGGTTCCATGATACAATGTTTAGCCAAGATAATGATAAGAGGGATCAAATTTGTTGATTAAATTGTTAAATACATCATGTTGACTTATGTTAGTACAAGACTTTATTTAATTCATTGTTGAATTATTAGGATAAAAAGGACTGTAATAGAAATGAAAATGAGTTCTTAAAAAAAAAAGGGAGATTAATCAAGATTGAATAAAGTTATAGTAAAGATTAAAGCATTGCAATATTAATTTTTATTTTGGGTCCTTTACAAGATCATTAAGAATGCACTTTTGTTATTGTTTTCCTATTCTAGTTACTATTCTAGTTACTAGGAAAGGTAATTTTGTAGTTATGTATAATGTATTATAATACTTTAAGTACTTTTTTTTTTGGTATGTAAACTAGAGTTTATGGACTTTAATATTTTGCTAGAAAAGAAATTGAAATTTAAAGTCGTGACTACGTTATATTTTATGTTCTTCCTTATTATTTAAATTTTCTTACCATTTTATTAGTATACTAAATTAATTAGGTTAAAATGATGTCGTGAATGTAATGAGATTATTGATGAGATGAAAATTTAAATAAGTTAAATAGATGCTTGAGATTGGATTGAGTAAATTATTTTGATGTCAACACTTGGGCTCATGATATATTAGGAAAAAAACTCTGCCAGAATTTCAGTAAAATAGAAAAAAAAAATCCCTTGTTTTTAGAAATCCTCATTTGACATGTTGATTATAAGTAGGAAAAAAATTTGGAATCTTTACAAAAGGTCTGCTCAATCATGACATCCTCCATCTAGTTTCACAGTTAAGAATGGCATCATCATTCCCTCAGGTCATATAAGCTCATTTAACAACGCTATGTCATATGTTCCATTTGAAATGCAAGAAGAACCATGGTAGATTAGCACATAATGTTAAAGACAAAAAGGAAAACACTGAAATGCATATCAGGTCATGGTGTTGAGTCTAAATCATATATAGATTTCTTACCTCCAAACCTCGAGAAAAGTTCACAATTAACCACTTCCTAAATCTTCCGAATGCAATATAAAGCAAGTTAGTCACCAGGTTAAGTAAGACAACAACAGTATTTAGGTGCAAGGATCAATACAGAATCTCTGTTTAGCTTTCTTTTGCAATAATCATAATTCATCCATTCTAGAAAGTACATGGTGTTATACACGCAGAGGAAATAATTCCAAGTCACTTGAAATTTAAATTATTGTGTAATTTTAGTATTTTTATTTGCAATAACTGTGTAATTTTATCATTATTTAAGTATAATTTATTTCATTTAGGAAAATAGCTTATTTCTTGTTATGTCGTTACTGTTAATTAGGAGTAGATGTTTATTTCTAGGACTTTTATAAGGCTTTTTTGTGTGCCTATAAGCACAATCGTACATTGTATCAAGGAATCCATTTTATGAATTAAACTAGGAATTTCAGTTTTAACTAAAAAATAAACTAACGTGAAACAAAATAAAATAACTTTGAGAGACCGATATCCTATTTTTCTTTGTTCTTGTTAATTCAAAAAACACCCCTTAGTGGATTCGAAGATCTGCTAAGTTAATTCTAGGGATTTTTATCTTTTCTTCAAACCCCTTTTTCATCAAATTCCATCTTGTGCATCAGGAGACCACAAGGATGGGAAGGAGAAAATCTCTAAGCCTTGCACACAGGAACCAAAACAAAACTCAATTGTTGAAGGCAAAAGGATGTTACTTCTTCAGCTATTGTTAACCACACCTTTAGCTGTGAGAAAACACTCCAAAAAAGTGTAACCACACTCCCACTATCCCATATTTTGAAACAAAAATACAAAATGAAGGTGGGGCTATGGGGGTGTGGTTAAACATTTCTGGATTACCAATATCAGTTCCTCTTTAGCTGCTGTAGAATGGATGCTCTTTTCTTGCAAAATCTCTGTTTGGCAATGCTATGCACAGGACAGCAATGCAAAATCTAAATTTTTGGGGAACTTCCCCAAAGTCCTTTTGCAATTGTATCTTGTGGGCAGCAACAGGTCAACACCAAACCAATCCTAATTAAAATAAATTGTCTGCGCACAGGGAACATGTATAATCACTTAAAAACCACTCAGACTCACGCACTAGAAGGCATATTCGAGTTTTTAAGGCAGAGCACACTTCTTGAGTAGATCATATGCTGAACGACATTTAATCAAATCTAAGATCAGCCCTTCCGTAAGCAACATAAACGCCATTCAAAACTGGAGGGGAAAGCTATAACTACTAACAGTTACTTCACAAACCAAAAGCAAACTTTTGGAGACAAGGAACGATGCTTGTATGGCTATTTCCATCCCTTGAAAATATATATCTACCTTATTCAGCAAACAAAGCAATTTCACTGATGGTTTCCTTTTCTTTATTTTATTCAACAATGAATAAGAATCCTTATGACAAAGGGAAACAAGAAAAAAAGGTGCTTGGATCAATTATAATGGCTAAAGGGTCAAACATCACCGGAAGCTTTCAATATCAACCAAACAAAGTTTACCTATTTCCCTTCCAGTTCATTTGATGGAAGAATAAAAGCATTCATAGTTGCACCAACTAGAAAGAAGCGGCCAAGGCAATGCTATTACTTCAACTAATATCACCCACAAACAAGAAAAATCAGAAAGTGCAATAGCATATGTATTGAGCAAGTTTAGTGGTAATGGAAACAAAATCCAGGCTTCACACTTACTTGTAATTTGGGAAATTTCAACCTTAGAAAATAGGTGGGTGCATATACTGTCTCTATAAAGTTATCATTGGTATAAAATGTTGTTTACAATTCTGACATGGGAGTGTCCTCTAATGGTCAACTATTTAAGTTGGGGTTAGCAATGTAAATTAATGAAGTTTTTTTATGATGTTTAATGTTAGCCCATGGGCCAACTTTGAGCCTGAATTTGAATCTTTTTATTGCATGAGAAAATAAGTTTATTTTATATGGTTTTCAAGTTCAGAGTGTGATATTTTCAGATTGTCCAACCATGCATGCATTGGAGTTTTCTATAAAAAAATTATGAAATTTTCAAATTGTCCAACAACGCATGCATTGGAGTTTTCTATAAAACAATTATGAATGTTTTAGTTTCTACATCTATTTATGTTTTTAGAAAATCATAATTGTGTGTTAATATTTGTCTAGTTTATATCGAAGTCATTTAGTTAGGTCTCAATTATGTTATTTTGTTGTTTCTCTAGACTTGAAGGGTTGTTTTAAGTATATACTAAAGATTCAAACAAATTTAGAGGGATCTTTTAACAAAAATTGAATTGAAAATCTTTGACTTGCCTTTTGGAACCTAACAAGTTTTGTGTCTTCTTTGTGGTGGACTTATTCCTTTAATCTAAAGTGGTGATTTGATCTGTATCTTTAGGGTGAGTTATTCGAATCTATATCTCTTCAGTTTTGTATCTTAAAGTAGTGAGCGAAAACTAACATTTGTGTGAGTGAGCAGCTGCTTTGATATATCCATACCATCATAGTATCAAGTTGGTATTATAGTTTAGGATTTACAACCATCATTGCTCGTGGATGTCATGTGCAACAATTCAAGAGTGACATCCGAGCTCTTGAAATTGATGAAATGAGAAGGCAACTCGAGTGTTTTGACTAACTTGAAAATCAAGCCCATAATGACAAGGATGCCAATCATTTCCCATAACAAACCACACCATGATTCAAGTGATAGACAGTTCTTCTTCTCGGCATCAAAGAAAAAGTAATAGAATGTCATCCTAAGAATCCGATGTAAAACTTAATATTCTTGAAAATGGTTCTTCAAGTAATAATGATCAGATGGGCATAGGGATATACAAGAGAAATTTCAACAAGAAGAAAATGATGTTGAAGCTGAAATTTTTTATGATTCTAGATCATTTATGGATTAGAATCAACCACTGAAATTCAATGAGGATGAGGAAGATGGTACTGAAGGAGAAGATTTTGATGCAAAAATCTCAATCTGTGATGAACCTAAGTTTGCAAAGGAAGTTCATGTTATATCAGATGGGCAGCAAGTTGTTGAGGTGGTTCTAGAAGTGGTTTTTGATAAAGAAACTTACAAAGGATGTGCTTCACATGTGATTAAGGAGAATTTTGAAATTAATTGGGTCAAAGTTAATGTTTTTTAACAAAGAAAACAGGAGTGAACTTATCAATATTTTTGGCAACATTCTAGAAACAATTGTCAATAGTTTAAAACATAATAGAGTTGATAAAGATAGGAGAGTTGAGTTGTTCTTTCACAGTAATTCAAGGAACATCCATAACATGGAAACTAATGTATGTGATGTTAAAGGATTCCAATTCAAGGCTTGTATAACAGATCATGAAAGTGTCCTCGTTCTAACGGTCTTATTGATGATGGGCTACTTGAGCTTGGAGAAATAGCCATTTGAACTCGAGGACAAGTTTATCTTAACTAGAAGAACTTGACATGAGAGCGTCATCTAATAGTCTTATTGATGATGGGCTACTTGAGTTTGGGTTGATGATGCACATAAGTGAATTTTTTTAAGATTTTTACTGTCAACCCATGACTAACTTTGAACCTAAATTTGCATCTCTTCATTGCATGGGAAAATAAGCTTATTGTTTTCAAGTTCAAAATATGATCCTTTTAGATTGTCCAACCATGCATGTATTGGAGTTTTCTATAAGAAAAATAATGGTTGTTTTAGTTTCCATGTGCTTGTTTGTGTTTCTAGAAAGTCAAAAACAAGTGCTAGTTAATGTTTGTCTAATTCTATCAAAGTCATTTATTTGAATCTTAATAATGTTATTTTGGCATTTCTTAGACTTAGATGGTTGTTCCAAGTATATAATTATGATTCAGACTATGTATGAAGGATCTTTAGGCGAATTTTGAATTAAAGTCTTTGACTTAGCCTTTTGGAAACCTATCAAGTTTTGTATCTCTTTTGTGAGTGGTTGACTTATTACCTTAACTCTACAACTCTAAAGTGGTAATTGATCTATATTTTTAGAGTGGTGAGTAATTTGCATTTATATTTTTTCAGTTTTGTACCTTAAAGTAGGGAGTGAAAACTAACATTTTGGTGAGTGACCTGATACTTTTCCATAGTCGTACCATCCCGAATCAAATTCTCTGCTCAATTTGCTGATGCATTGTGAACAGTATTTCACACACTCAACAATACCTCAACCATGTGAGGTTGACCATAAATATATGTTTTCTCATTGTACTCTTCTACGAAATGCATGGTTTTCCACAATATTGTAAGCTATCAATTCATGCATCCTTAACTCAAACTCGCCATCTCTTCTCACTAGTTACCTCTAATGGTACGAGTATTCACCTTCTAGATTCACCTTCTAGATTCATAAGCAATAATATAATCAGGGGCATTATATAGTCTACATATTTCTACTGATTATAGCGTTTTCTTATGTGCTTATGGAAACATTGGAATATAGTTAAGTAATCAGATAAGGCACAGACTTGATATAAATTAAGTTCACTTACCCCCAATAAAGAGTGTAATTTCCTCTTTATTTCACTACTATCAGAACTAATAATTGCAAACCACATGTTTCCATCCAAAACAGCATCATCAAGCACAATAAAAGAAGCTGAAAGCAAAAAACACAGAAGCAAGCAAACAAAAGGACCCAAAGAAAAGAATAGGATCGTACCCATGAGTGATGCCTCAAGCAAGTGGGTTCTCCATAGAACCTGATCCATAGGTGACATGGTTCCAAGCTTTGCACCCTTACTTTGGATCTTAACAATGCTCATGAGGCTAGAAAACAGAATCACAGACATGGTTCCAGCAATAGTTTTCACTGTAGCAGGACCCTTTCCCATCTTCACCTGATCCAAACTCTTAATCACCAAGTCTCTCAATGGTCCAATCTTTACCAACAGCAAAGATGCCACAAACCCCTCAGCAAAAAGAACTAAGAACAACAACTGAATCATCTTTGCTGCTACGCAAAACTAGGTTCTATCTTAAGGAAATGAAAAAAATTTAAGTAGATCACAGATTAAAGCAGAAATTTAAAAAAAAAATGTGTGTGTATATATATATATATATATATATGTATGTATTCTTTAATGGAAACCCATTTGCCCTTGACATTTGAGCTAGAACAAGTGGATTATCATATACTTAAAATAGCACCAAATTTCTTTTCCATAAGGAGCGAAAATTGGTTGGAAGAGTTCACATAATCTCTTTAAGTTCTCGTGAATTAGTAGTGTCAATCTTGACAAGGAAAAAAACCCAGTGTTTATATCTGAAAAAATAAAAAAAGAGTTAATGGTTTGGTTTTAGGGACCAGTCGGGTTTAAGGCTACAGATACCGTGCAATTAAGCTCTAATTAGGAAAAAGATGTGAGCTTTTTCTAAGAAGCACTTTTTATTCTTTTCATGAATTTTTCCCAATGGTGTGTTTTAAGGATTAGTGGGGGTGATTTCGGAAATGGGTTTTGCTTTTGCCAGGCCAACAGAGATCATGTAGTTAACAGTACCGCTGTTCTCGCAATTTAACAATATTTTATTTTTTTATTTTAAAACAATTAAAACAATATTTTTATAATTTTTTAAATAAAAATAATTAAAAAAATAATTATTATTAACCATAATTATTAAACTGGATCGGTATAGTTACTGGATCGACTTATCAGGCTAATCCTAAACCAATCCAAGGCAATAAATTGAAATGATCAAAAATTCCGTAAAAACTAGTTAAGCCACTTGTTTGAGTTTTGACCAGGATAAAACCTGGTTGAGACCTACTTTTTTTTTAAATGTATTTTTTTTTATAACCAAATATCTTTTTTTATATATTTTTTAATTAGTTAATAAATTTTTTTAAAATTTCACTATATAAATAATAAAAAAATATTTTTTATATAAGATTTGAATTTTATATTAAAAAAATTATTTTTTTGATATGATATGTAAAATCTTTTAGTATATATATTTTATATTCACAAGAAAAAAGTTATATTTTTTAATATAGAATAAAAAAAATTTAAAATAATTTTTAAAATTTTATTATTTGTAAGATGTATAACTTATATTTATATAACTTATTTTTTAAATTTTTTATATAAAATATTAAAATTTTAAATATTTTTTTTATTTTTTAATTAATTTAAATGAATTGACCCTTGTAACTTAGCAAGTGACTTCTTAATCTGATCAACCAAAATGATAACTATGTACAAAACAGGCAAAAGTGACAAAAATCCGTGTGATAACCGGAGAGGGTGCAAAATAGTGTTAGGGCATTAGGCTGAGATTATCGTGTGTTTAAGCTTGGAAAATAGATAATGCATGTTTAGGGAGTGTTTGGGCTAATGGGTAATACGATTATTGTCTGGTTGTTAAGTTTCTTTTGCCCTGTAACACGGATGAGCTTCTTGCTTGTACTTCTCTCTGGAGAAAGTACAT